TCAAATAATGAGCCCCATTACTGTTTTTCCATATTCTAATCTGATTTAGCAATAACAACGTTGAATTTGGTCGACTATATGAAATGTTCTCCACAWGTAATTTCTTTTCTTATGGCCTAATAAACATGTTCTTCCACAAGGAATTTGATCTTAATCTTAGCCAAAAAGGCCGAGAAAGAATTTAATCTTGGATTGCACTAGAGGCCCTTAAAAAAGTGTAAAATGGTCTAACACAAACAAGTACCAAGTTACCAACTACCAGCCCTCATAGTCATATTTAGGATACCATGTGAAAGTGAAATCATTAATGTATTATTAGAAACATAGAGTAACACATTAAGGGATAAAATGAGAGAAAGTAGACGAAGATGGCTTAAGCATATATATAGACTACCATTGCACTAGTGAAGGAATGATCTAATGCAAGTTGGGAATCCTAAAACAGTTTGTCAAAGAACAAAAAGTTATTGATTGTTACAATCATATATTTTGGATTTTGTGTATGGGTTCCCTCTTAGGGCTATTTTGCAACTTCCCCCCGCCCCCCTCCCCATCTAGGTATAAATTTTTCTTATCATACTAATCAAGGTTAAGGTGGCTGCCCCTCCACCTGTGATTTCAGGACTAGAAGGGAAAAATGACTCAATTTCAATTTAGATATTTTAAGTGATAGCTGCATCTCCTACCAAAGTTTTTCAATACTTAAATATATCACTAGAATTTAAATCCTCATAGGCTTTTTCACTGGGTTGCTTTTTGGCTAAACCAACGAACATCATGTTGGCTTTGTAGGTGTTATCAAGTCTAGAGGCTCAATTTCTCCTTTCATGATAAGATTTCTCTCAGATCCATATGTCCTTAGAAATGACCGAGTAATGTACTGTTATATCCTCAATAAAGAGAAGAAGAAAGAAATAGAAATCAAGGAATAAATAAAACAAATTAAAAGAGACTTATTGGGGAAAAAATATAAGTTTCGATAATGCAACAGGAAAATTTATTTATTTTGGATTGTCAGGGGGTTGCTTTTAGAAAACATTGTTTTTCCCTTAAGTTTGCATTTTTATCAGTAAATTTGAAAGTATTTCTTTTATGATAATTCTCTCTTCTACCTAGGAATAAGCGTATTCCGGTTGAAACTGAAAAACTGAACCAAATTCGTTTTTTGGTTCAGTTATTTCAGTTTCGGTTTCAGTATTCAGATATGAAAATTTGGTTAACTGAAAAAACCGAATTAACCAAATCTTATTTTGTATATATGAAATTCAGTTTTAACCAAAATAATCACATAAGAAATTCAGTTCAGTTATTTAGCTATTGCCTTAATTCAGTCAGTTCAGTTTTCCCTCTTAGGCATTCAGTTAATTTGGTTCAATTTTTTACTAAATAAACCGAATGCTCACCCCTACTTCTACCAAAGATAGGATATTCCATTTTACTACAGTTGACATCAAAATGGATCTGGTTCAATTTCTCTACCTGCTCTCCAGTTTGAATGTCAAATGAATGCTGATGATCAAATTGAAGACCTCTAAATTCATTGATGCAAAGTCCTTGAAAAGCCCTGAAACAATGAATAAAACCCAAAGATAAGATGAGCATTGGCACATCCATCAAGTTGCATGAAATTTGGGAAGCATGTTTTGTACCAAGAAAAACATAATTTGGGAAGCATGTTTTGTACCAAGAAAAACATAATTTGGGAAGCATGTTTGATCCAACTTATTAATGAAATGCTTACCATCTTATAAGAGACACCCGTGGAATCCAGCGGAAGATGATTGGTGTGTTATCAGCATTTACATAATAACCACCAAATACAATAAATACAGTCATAAGGGATGGTCCCAAGGCCATTGCTGCTTCTGTAGTTGGAACCATAGCCCCGACAGTGAGACCCATTGCAGATGCAGCAAATGATTCTATTGTAACAATTCCACAGAACTTTCCAAATCTGAAAAGTCAAAGTTAAAGGTTAATATCTTCCAACTGAGACAAGGGGCCACTTTGCAGGTTTGAATTTGAAGCTACAAAAATGCCAAAGATTAAAAATCTACAAATTGGTTCTAACACGAAAAATGATGTATGAAAAAAATGTGCTTTTATAGTCTGACCAGAATGGCTTGCAAATCCATATTTGCATAATTGTTGGATGGTAGAGGTATTTTAGTATCAGTATACTTTTTCCTCAACCATTTCTTCCCACTGACTGCAGTTAGTCTGTATTGGAACAGAACTGATAATTTCTCCAGATGTAGTCACATGGTTAGTGAATGGAAATTTTGCATGTAACCTTGGGGCCTTTTGGACCTTGCCCTGATAAATATAATTCATTCAATATATTTGCTCCTGAAGGAAAATTTCTGACTCTTATCTTATAAAATACAAATCAACAGAATAAACAATCAATTTTTAATGCAACAAATCAAAGAAACTAAATTGCAAGTGGACTTGTTCCGCAGTGGGCAACTTACCTAGATAAAGTAGGATGAAGATGTGCCATGGGATACAAAATCCCACCAAACAATAATGGAAATGCTGCACCAACAGGGATTTCAGCCAACAATTTAGAAAGTAAATATGGCCCTAATGCATAAGATCCCTTGGCACGCTCTCTATCTACAATTGCACGCTCCTTTGGGAAAACACCAACAGTTTTGGTAAGTGCAGCCATTGCGGTGTTTATGGCAGCAACCTTCAAAATCAGAAAATTCCGAAGGAAAGAAAATATTAAGCACTAAATAAATAACCAAGACAGGTAGGGAAAATGAAACAGGCATCATTCAAAGATAGAAAATGAAACTGGTAATGAGAACCACATAGGTACCTGAAGTAGACCCATCCTGTCCTGTATAGATGTCTGGGATCTTCCCATACGCCAAAAGACTGACCCAAATATTAAAGCTGATGCAATAGACATTCTTGCTCGAACTTTATTTGTAGGTCCATCTCGAGAAGCCTACGCAAAATATTGTTGGAAAATCAGCCACTGATAAATAAGTTAAAAAAGACTTGAAACTGGTGATGATTGTTTAAATAGTTTGATCTCTGCAGAGAGGCTACAAGACTAATTCTGATGGTGCTCATATATACACAACCACATTATAAAGAAACTTCTTTCCTAAGTACTGTTAAATGATTTGGTCTTTGTATATCAGCTACAAGACTAGTTCTCATGGGTCATGGATGCATGCCATCACATTTTAAGAAGTTTCTGTCCTAATAACACTCATACAAAATATGGAAGTCAAATTTCAGTGGACTAAGAGGTGTGCCAATTCCTTGGCAGACTCTTGGGAGGGTTAAGAGTTTTAACCCCCTCCCTTTGTATTTTTCTATATTAATATCTCTTAATAAAAGTATTTGTTATTTATCAAAAAAAAATAACACTGATGAGTTTGTAACTCTAGATTGATGCACGAGGGAAGAACACCAATCAAGCTAAAAGGCAAAATGAAAAGTTTATAAGATGGCTATAAGATTGGTGGTGTGGCCTTGAGCAACATGCCAAAAAAAAGTGTGACAAAGGTGTAAAACGTCAAGGAGCTAGAGGCAGGTGACAAGCACATGGGTTTGTAGTATTAAGTATGAACAATGATTTGGGGGCTTACAGTTTAATAATGTACATGGCCAATGACAAAAAATAGGATTGATGTAACCAACCCCGTATAGTTGGGATAAAGATTTTTTAGTTGAGTTGTGTTGAGTTCACATAGCAATAATAAAAGAATCACAAATACTGAACTAAAGTCTGAGTCAGTGTTAAAATAAAACAGAATTATAATCACAAATTGAAATTTAAATGAAAATTTTGGAAGAAGGAAAAAAAATCAATGCCTGCACCCATGCCCGTTTAAGGAGCAACCAGAACTGCCTCCACCAAGCACCTTTCTTCGTGGCAACAGATCTCCTGCTACTTTTTGTGGTATACATATAGCCATCCCTTCTGGTAATTGGAGTTGCATAAATAATGGTTGACGTCTTCTGTGCAAATGCCTCAACAAGACCATCAATTCTCTTTTGGGAGGAGTAAACAGTTTCAGAAGAACTATAGTCGACAGATATCAGATCGGCCAGAAATTCAGCAGGATTCACATGATCTGGACATTGATATCTGTTCAATAATGACTAATTAGTTTCTATTAGAAAAAAAAGTACCATAATCTGTTAAAAGTTGAAGGACAAAGGGCTAGGGATAGAGCAAAAAGGACATGGGTTGAAGTAGTAAGGAATGATTTAAGTAATCATAATTTAACACATGATCTGGGCATTGATATCTGTTCAATAACCACTAATTAGTTTCTATCAGAAATTAAATATCAGAAAAGAAAAGGCCATAATATGTTGCAATTTGAAGGGGAGAAGGGCTAGGGGTAGACGTAGACCAAAAAGGACATGGGTTGAAGTGGTAAGGAATGATTTAAGCGCTCATAATTTAACAAAGGCTTGGATGACGATGATGAAAAGAAAAGAATATAGATGCATCAAAATTTCTGTCAAAGAATGTTGCAATGAAAATTATAATAATTTAAGGAACAGTCAAAATAATCTGACAGAAATTGAATATGAAAACATCAGAAGTAAGAGCTTTATGTGATCTCATGTCAAAAAGGAAACTCAGTTATGCACGATCAACGACTGAAATAAATACCAGAAGGAAACTTCAACATGGTAGAAAACTATATGAGGACAATTCATCCAAATATAAAAAACCATAAATTTCAGCTAGCATGAACTAAGTTAGGAAAACAGTAAGAACAAAAGATTAGTAATAATGAGCTTTAAATAAAAAAATACAAGAAAATATAGGGTCAGCTAACAACCCAAATTTTGAGAAATATGACAGCGGTTCTTCACGAGCAGGCCCTGCATAAATGAGTGCACCTTCTGCTAGCAGCACAATGTCATCAAATTTTGCATATACTGAACCTCTAGGTTGATGTATGGAACAAATAACAGTATGCCCATCCTGTGCTAGTTGTCGGAGTGTCTCCATCACCCTTTCTGCCTGGAATGCATCAAGTCCTGCATGCACCACAAGCATTTTCATCAAATAGGACCAACCATCTGTTATTGCTAGAATGGCAAATCCCAACAGGATGGATGTAGCATGTACTCCAATATATGTTAGTTTTATGTCTTCCTGAACTTACTGGTGCACTTCACAGACTGGAATTTGTCTGAAACTTGACTAACATGACATGGTCAAAGAAACATCATACATCACTTTGTAGACTTGTAGTGCATGTTTTCAGTCATCTCAAAATTCTCTAAATGGTAACTCTACCATCCTCAAGTTTAACAATATTTTTTTCCTGCTCTTGGGTAAAAGTTAAAAACTATGAAAACATATTAAACTCATTTTTTTTTGATAAATAACATATTAAACTCATATTAGAAAAAGAGTTGCTTCTTTCCATAAGAAATCCCTACATCATTTAAACTCAAGTCAACAAGCTGCATAGAATTTGCAACCAGAAGTGGTAGAGTTTATTTCATATTAGTTAGGCTTCATACAATTTCAATTAAACAATAATCACCATATTGCCAACCAAAAGCAGGTGCTGCTTCCAACTCTTTGCTCATGGACTTGCAGAATATCAGGATGTTGCTTTGGAAAAAAAAGGAGGAAAATTAAGAGAATACCAAACAAAGTAGCATAACACCTCAAGACCTTGCATGCATGTTTATTAAGAAATAGGAGAAGGAAAAAATAATTACACAACTTGGCAGTTGATGAATCTAAACTACAAGATTGGTTTCAGTGGAGACATGCTGCCATCAGATTTTTCACTTTCAAAAAGAAAATAACTTACCCCTACTCACATATTTCCTTTTTAGCCCAGGCTAATTCATATGTTTCTTGAAGCCTCTAGCTTTAAACCATACATTTCACAGGTAAAAAAAAGAAGGCAGTATAGGGACTCCAAAGCAATCAATAAGGACAGCAAAGGAGAGTAAGCCAGTCAAAGAAGCTCCTTGTAGGAAAGGTTTAGAAAATGATGAACCTCCCACACAGAAAGAAGTTAACAATGACTTATTAGTGTTTTTTATACCATCTAAAGGGAGATTTTAAATACTTTGGAATCTTAAAACTTGGACATCCATAAGCAAGAAGTAATTATACTCCTTTCTTCATTTGGAACAAAAAAAAAAAAAAAGAAAAAATAATTTCTCAAAGCCACCTAATAAGATCAAATGGTGGATCCTAAAATAGGACAAAATATGGCAGAGATATCCCTTTGCAGATCACCCTGCAAGGCTGCGACTACACTGAAAATCATAAAAATGAGGCAGACCAAGTTATAAAATCCAAGGTTAGTGCTACAGATAAAGTAAAGAATAACTGATGGCAACTTTCAAAATAAAAACCTACCAGTTGTTGGTTCATCTGCAAATATAACAGATGGGCTTGCAATCAGTTCACATGCAAGTGATAGGCGTTTCTTCTCTCCCCCACTGACTCCGCGAACTTTTGCATCACCAACATTGGTATCAGCACAATTGACCTTTCAACACAAGAAAATTAAAAGCATTAACCAACAAAAAGATGTTCATAATTTTCAAGATTGTTGCTGACCACTTGGCATGTTGTACTTGTTCAAAGCAAGAACAGCTGCCAACTTGAAGAACAAAGGATTATCCAAAACCAAATACAGACAAAAACACCAGTACTCTAATTGTGGTATTAGTGAAGCCAGTCTTACCAGGCCCAGACGGAAAAGTAGACTGTTCACATATTCTTCCCTCTCATCAACTGATAATTTATTGGAAAGTTGGAGCTCGGCAGCAAGAGAAAGTGTTTCCCGCACTGTTAGCTGCGAGAAAAAGAGGTCCTCCTGTCTCACATAGGCAAACCTGCCAAAACAAGAAATGATACTAAAATTGATAACAACCACAATGAAATGAATCAATCACATGAGTTATTGGAATTCAACATACTTAAAAGCCTCCTTTGATATTGGCTGCCCATTGACGTCCAGAAGGCCTGACAGATGCAATCTTGGTGATGCTGTGAGCTGACCTGCAAGAACATTTAGCAAAGTCGTTTTCCCTGATCCTGAGGGTCCCATGATCGCCAGCAGCCTGCCTGGGTTTGCTTCTCCACTCACATTCTTAAGCAAAAAACGCACCTACAAGAATTAAGGAAATACATAGATAAATAGAGTAAACAATACTGCATGAATCTGCTCATAATTGAAGTAGTAACAACGCGAACACATTAGGTTCGCGCAACAGAATTTGGTCATTCCTTTTGGTTTCGCTCACATTTTCCAGTAACTTGTAGGCTCCAAAATTAAATAAAACATTTGTTTTTTAAATGAAATAACATATTTATTCAACTCTGGATGTTAGAAGATTATCAGAATTCACACCGATCAACAATAAAGATCATCAGAATTAATCAACAGAAGAATCATTGTCTTTGTTTTCTTTTTTCTATTGTTAATAACCCAAGGGGGATAAAGTTATTCGGACTACAAGCATGTTATCCAAAAAACTTGCATTTCCCTCTAACGTACGCTTCCCCAAGACCAGGTCAAGCACTTTGAAACAGAACTATAAGAGAAAACCTCGAAGCTCCTGCTATCATGCGCTTCTCAAAGGATAACAATAAACCCCACGCATAACAATAAACAAGAAGCGTAACCGAGTAACGGAAGAGTCAAGACGAATACGAATGAGTAAGCTTACCATTTTGCCGGATTTGTCTGAAAGGGAGCAAGTAATGTTCGTCCACCGAATTGTAACGGGAGTGACTTTTCCCGTGACTGGGGCTTCTCCTCCGTCATCTTTTCCGGGGTAGTCATCGTCGCCGTCAGCCTCATTTTCCGGCAATAGCGCAGGGCCTGGGCCAGAGAACAAACGAAGCAAAAGAGCTGCTGCTACGGCAGCCAGTATCTGGCCCACACCTTTCCCGCCGAGACCCACAATCTGGCCCACTCGCTTCCCGCCGAGCATAACCATCTCCACTTCTTCAGTTCTCTTCTTCCTTGTTCCTCTCCCCGTGAAGGCGTGGAGCGTAAATGAATGTGTTACTGAGCTAAAGATATTTTATCTGTTCTATTATCTTGAATTTTAATTTCCGTTTAATTATATGATCTAACTTCTAGGGTCCAACGGCTACGATTTTGTATGTGACAAAAACAGCCTTTAACAAACAGCGACAAACTTCTGAACCGGATCTAGAACATCTCCCCTGTCCTTCACGGCGAGATGTTCCCGATGTACGGATGACATAACTGTTGGAACCCTGCGTTGGGATCAGATCGAAAACCCCGGTTCCCGGAAGCAATTCCATCATTCCACGGTCTTTGGTCTGTTTGACAGTTGGGTCGCAAAACTAGCATGTAAGTGCTATGAACAGCATTGAAATCATAAGCACCAAGAAATACAAAGCATTACAACCGCACATCGGGATCATCTCTCGTAATTGTATATTGTTATGTGCAAGAGATGCTCCTGATGAGCGGATGTAGTGTCCTGTGAGTAGAGCTCCCATAGGTAGCGCCTCCTCCGACACCCACGTGTCCTTCACGAACCAAACGTGGACGTAAATGTGAGTGTGGACGGTGAGACTGGATCTGCTCCCCACACAGGGCGCCTCATTCGCGTCTCACATGCACACCGTATCATGCATCGGAAACATCTCACTTATAAGTTATTATTATGTCCTTATTCGCTGATTGAGGTTACTACAGTATAGTTGCAGCCAAGGCAGATCTGACGCGTGACACGTGACATAATAAAAAGCTTGTTTTTAAAACAAAACAATCACCATGTCAGCAAAACCATTGGGCAAAGTTTTTTTTTTTTTTTGGAAATTATCTAAAACTCACACCCATTTTAGCATTTGTTGGTGATGTTTGACACCGTAGCGTTTTATAAGCATTCAGTTTTATAAGTGGGCCCTAATTTAATTTGTTATATTTATTTAATTTTTTGAAAAATAAAAAAATGGTTGCAATTTAAGTGGGCATTTAAAATGATTTGGCTTAATATTAAATATTTTATAATGATAACTTTGTGACATCTCAAAAAATATTTTTCAAATGAGAAAATTTCAGATTAGTACCTTATATTTTGGGTCTAGTGCCATTTGATCCTCCAATTTTAAACACGATATCCAATACCTAAACTTTTAAAATGCAACAATTTAGTATTTGTCGTTAATCAACTGTTAAGTGGCATATGAAAAAATATAAATGCCCTCAAATGTCATTAACGGGTTGTCGAAGCCCTCAAAATTATTACTAGTCCCACAATAAAATATTTGCAGTAAAAGTGGTTCTAGGTCGAATCCCACCGGGAGCAAATCATTAATCTCTTAGCTAAATAGATAATATTACTAAGTGGGAGAATTAAATACTAAAACTAAAAGAAGAAATAACAAACTAAACTAACAAGAGAAAATCAGTCTTACCGAATTCTGGTTCAAGGGTTCGGGTTGAATCGATGGCCATCGATCCTAGGTACATTTCAGCATTCTTGCAATTCAAGCATTTAACCTTAGATTTATTAGGATAGCCATAATAAACCTTGTRTTTTCCTAATTCAGTTGACCAAACCCAGCATTTGATCAACACTTATCACCACTCAAATGGGTACGATAGCGTCCATATTAAAYAGTGATAGCATTAAGATTTGTGAAAACAGTTAAACCAAAATAACAATAATTGAGATAGTTGCAATTACTGAATCTTGTTCCATCAATTCCTTTACGTTGAATCATGTTAAAACATTGGTCAAAGGCTGTCACGAACAATTGACCCAAAAAGAAATCAACCTAATTGCTACTTGCACCATTATTCGTAACAATTACGGATCACCGAAATCATGGATAGCAGTAGGAAAATCAACATTAATTCAGATTGTCAACTAATTAACATCAACAACCAATAAAAATATGCACAAGAATCAATGAATACTTGAATTAGAAAGCAAGAAAATAAAKTAACTAYARAACCTCACAATGACWYAAYCRAACCTCCCCCCTTGAACCAGAAAAAGAAGCTTAGCTACTCATGATCTGCGCAATCTCCATGCCTTTCTTCTCCATATCCGAACTGCTTTCTTGACCTTCTT